TCCGCTTCGAAGCTCCCGCCGCCAAACCGGGGAATCTATATCAATTTCTGTGATGGAATTGGGATTAAGATGCACGGATGAGAGAGAGGTATGTGCATGAATCGCTAGCACCAATAGTAACACGTGAGCCATTACTTTCATGAGTTTGTGCATTTCCATGTTGTGTTTGTTTCTTCCGTTTTTGTCACTTAAAATTAAAATGGACAATATACTGTTTTTGTGTTACATATTGTATTATATATATGATCTGACCTCTATTTATAAGAATTTAATCCGGTCAAAGTCTTTGGAGAATCATTCTCATTTTCTTGAGAAAAAAAAGAAATGGATGCCACTACTACAAAATATATTAGTTATTTTTCATTCTAATGGCCGGAGCAAGTGGTTCAAGTCAAACATATTGTGATCCATTTCTAAGGCGTGTAAATTGAATCGTATTAGTGAAAATGGAAAATACACTGAAAAAACCACCAGTTTTTCGCAAATCAGGTGTGTATTTTGAAAGTTTCTTATTATATATAGCAGCCAAATACTGATTCCTAATCACAAAGAACCTCAATGAGTTTCAAACCGAAATTGTTTTTGGATAATATATTCAACACTGTTTCGTCTTTTCAAATGTTTACCATTTCTTTTCAATTATCGTAAAATATATTACGCGGTATTTGTTTGGTACGTAAGACGCAAACGTTTCGTGCTTTGACTATTTATTATTCGATCCCGGGATTTGAATTTCGAGTAGCTCACGCAGTTTTATATTCCCATACCAATTGTAACTTTGTAAGCATAATTTATATAAAATTCAAAAATTGTAAAATATGATGATCAAACCACTGAATCTGATTATGTAGTCTTATATAGAGAAAGATTTGTAACATATATCCGTTTATTGTAGTGAAGAGATATATCTGAATGGATTTCATGTACTATTCATTTCTACGCTCATACACAAACGTTCATATACCTGATATCATAATGGTTTAGTTAATGTCTTTAAATATAGACATGTTTTGTTACCATAATTACAACAACAAATTATTTGAAAGATGTAAAATTCATATAACCTAAAATAGAACTAATCAGAAACAGACTATGTAATTAGGGCCCATTTTAAGCCCCATACTTTCCCATGCTCAGTCCAAATTATTTGGAGGTCGAATTTCCGTATTTTTTTGTACCATAACCAATGTCTATATATATATGTGTGTGTGTTCAGTGACATACTTTAACTTTTTAACATCGTGCTTCAGTTGAAATATTTAAGCTTAATGTTCAAATACTTGGATCCATTACGTATTATGTCATGCTTAAAGAACAAGATAAACAACTTTTCAAAGGAAATAATAACTTAAATGCACGCTCTAATAATATCTTCACAAATTGTCCAAATTTGAGACACATACTTTAAATCAACAAATATTGCTCTAAATCATGTTGTTTTAGTTGTTGCTACAAACATAATTTGTGCCAACAAATTTTTCTTTCTCTTTCGCCAAATAAGAACCCTTTTTTTTTGAAACTTCATGCAAGAGCGTTATTAATTAGCTCCTCGAGTTTTTTTTATA